CGCAGATTTGCTTAATTAGAGTTGACCCAATTGTGAGAAAACTCCGTGAAAGAACTCCGTAAGACAAATCACTGCACATTTTTCCCACACCTAGGTCCCTCGGTGACTATTCCTACAAAACTGATCGCGACTTGCCTCCCACTCAGCAGCTGATCTCTCCTGAGCCCGAAATTACTGTTATTGACCGGGAGAAGGCTAATGATCAAATGATCGTTCTCGCATGCGACGGGATCTGGGACGTCCTAAGCAACGAGAACCTATGTGAACTGCTACTGGAGAGGGTACAGCGCCTCGACGATTTGTCCAAAGTTTGTGATGAAGCAATCGACTACTGCCTTTACAAAGTGAGGCAACCCATCTTTTTTCATTCTAAATTTTCAAAATCCTTACGATTTTGCGTGTGAAAGTAGTTCATATTTTTTTGTCTGAATGCTGAATTCCTCAGGTTTTTAGCACTATGAGCCAGTGTATTTATTGTCATACCACAGTGGCCCGCTTTTTTAAGTGCTTCGAGTTTTTATTTTCGAACACATCCTGAACTATTATTCAGTCTCATCTGAAATATCGCTTCTTCCCCTGACTTTTTCCATACTCAAGTCACAAGGCCGCTAGCTGGCGTTCCGACAAGCATTTGAGTCTTTTGTGCTGCCAGTTTTACGCTAACGAAAATTTATTGTCCCCGTGCCTTGCCGAGAACATTTAGTGGATTTCAGACCTTAATCTTGATTGATTGGTTACATGATTGACAGCTGTTATTTGGCCCCTCGGATGCCTAATATTACACTAGTGCATGGTGAAAGAATGCGACTAGACTTGAGAGGTCGTAAGTGTAGAAATTATTCACCAAGCAGTTAAATGAGATTGACAGATTATAACGACTTACGCTTAATGTTCTTGACTAGTGGTCTTGTAGGGCTTCTAGTCGAGGTTCAACCATAATTCTGCCCTACAAGTGAGATTATTGATTCCAACAATGTCCGCCGTGCGCCCCACAGCATTGTGGGCGTAAGGGCGATGGCTTTTGCTTGAAATAGTGTATTGTGATAGTAGGCTTGCGCAGCATCTAACACACCCGCTATTCCCTCACCCAGTCGGACCCGGTGTCAAGACAGAGTCAAGAAAATCGGAGGCGGTATCGGGCGCAGAGGCCTGGTGCGGCGTGAGCTTGCACCTAGTAGTGCCACAACGTCTCCCCTGTGAGACCTTTGTTCGGGATGTGCATTCCCAATAACGTCTGCTATGCCTTGATTTGCTATCCATATTGCGCATCTACTGTGTGGTCTGTTAAAGGGACTCAGTTCTGTCTAACCTCCACTAGCCATCATTCCCCCCGGTAGTGGGAAGTCTACATCAAAGGATGTTTTCCTCCTTAGTAGTGTACGCCACCAAAGTTGCGTCAGAAAGTCAGTTTGTGGTGTTTTAAGTGGTTTCGCGCATGTCTGTCACAGATACATTGCGTAGTTGGTCATTTAAGTTTTTCCCATCTTCGCGTTAATCGATGATTGTATGGGATAGTTCATTTTTATTCATTTGTCTTGCTCTTTGTACCGGTTCGACTATAGACCAATGCCTTCTCCGTTTAAGTAGCATTCACATAACTATTTTTATTGAAATATTTTTGAAATGAAAAAAGTCTTCTCTGTAGTATGCCTGACTGACGACCTCTAACTTACACTTTCGTGATACCCCTGCCTCTCTTTGTAACTGTTTCCGTTGTCCCTCCTTTCAGGGGAGTTCGGACAACATGAGTATAGTTCTTGTGGCGTTCGATCCTGCGCCCAAAGTTGACCCTTCATTGAAGGCGGAAGATGAGAAGCTTGAAGGAGTCTTGGAGAGACTCACTACTGGTACATTTTGCTATGCATACTTTCAATAATTTCTCACTTTTTACGCCTATTGTGTGTAAATTTGTTGTGTGAAGCCCTGGTCAGAAATTTGAAACGTGATGTTAAAAAGTAGATCAGAGTTGCAATACCGATCAGTAGGGAATATAATTAATTCATAAAACCGACTGGACAACATTCCAATGTCTAGGTTTGGATTTAATAACTCCATAACCGAAGGGTCCGGATTCAAATCCCCATTTATCCTTACCCTGGTTTGTGTACGACTAACTAACGACAGCCATTGAGCCAGAAATAACCACCCCAATGTCCCTTGTTTCTGCCAGTACCTGCCTGCTAGGGTCTCAAGGTGCAATAGAATGAGCACGTCCTTTGGCCTGATCGCTAGTATTTGTTTTGAACGTTTTAGGTCCCTCTCAATTGCATTTATTTTAATTGTTTCGTAGAACGTTCCTCCTTTAATGCTTTCATTTTATGGAAGGTCGCTTTTTGGTTTAAGGTGGTTTTATAATTTAATATTTTAGATCTATAATGGTTATTTGAACAATGCAGCATACACTCATTTGTACGTATCCAAACGCCAATTTTTGGGGATACCAAGAGTCGATGGCCTGGACTCCGTAGAGACTGCAAACCGTAATTTATGCGACTGAGTGGACAGATATTAACCGAAGGTCACTGTCTCATCATGTGGAAATTAATTTGAACTTATGTTCCTTGCTAGCCAATATGGTGAATTCATTTTAGCAATCTGTTTTTTTTTGAAAGTATATATTTAGACGCCAGTCTGTACTTTGTTAGGAAGCCTCGAAAGGACCCGATCGCCAGGTTACAGGACCCCACGGGGGGGAGGGGGGTTGATTCATGCAATGTCCTACACTTCAACTCTCAAGGTCACCTCATTTTTGCACGTTTATTTGGCATTAAAGAACTCTGTCCCCGCTATTTGTCCTATGCCATCCCCCCCCTTGTTTTCTTCCCGTCTGTTTGTCTCTAACCCACTTAGATATAGGCGTGTTTTTAGACCTCTTGCTGACCCAGAATACGGTCATGGTTTTTGTTTACCCCTCACTTTATAGGTTAGTGTTCCCTTTCTAGACGCCCCTACTTGGCAGCTTTAGAAAAAAAAATAACTTGGTTCAGAGTGGCACGCATACCTCGTCAATTAATCTCGCAAGCATTATTTGTTTCCTGTGCTTGGCCATTCGAACGCGCGTTCGCATTCCTCGAGACTTACTGGCAGTGAACTTTCTGTGCTGCCTCCCCACCCTTCCCGTATTGCCTTAACGCCTCGTTTGGCCTGCTGTCATCTGTCCTATTACCGGAGAGTGAGAGGATATCGGGCGATTTTGTCAGAGACGAGGAAGTGTTCTTTTATTTGATCACTTAGTTGTTTAGCTCTTCTCTATGCGGCAAGCACAGTGCGCGTGCGATATGCGGTCGAGGCCGTAGTGCTGGCTTTGTCAATTGAACCGATAGGATAGTTGTGTCCGATCGCTCGCTCTGACGATAATTTTAGTAGCTCACAATGGGCCTGAATCATGCAGCCCTGCGTCACACACACACATACACCGCCTCCGTAGCTTGTCGTATTCGCCTAGATGGAGAGGCTAGCACGCGTACGAGTCTGCCTTCGTCCACACATCTGCCGTTTGCTTCAGCTGCCATAGATTGCCAGCCTACGCGTTTGCTACTGAACACGCTGGAATCATTTTTCATAAATAGTATCCTGATGTTGCTGACCGGAACTCCAACTCGCGTATTAATAGAACCGTCAAAATTAATCGCATTGCTGACGCTTGTTGGGCCAGTGGTCTGCATGTGCACCTCCAGTGGCGGCTCCAGCATTCAAAACACGCCAACGTACTGCATATTTTTTGTTGTTGTACTTTGCTATGACCACGGACAGCGGATGCAGGCGATTATGCTTTACGCGTGTGTTTCGGATTATGACAAAGCATGTGCAGTATCGTCCTCAATCTCCTTTGACTGGGTTGAGACCAGGTGTGACGCAGTAGCCGCCGAAATATTTGCACCGGGCATACACGGAAGTAGAACTCGCCTTCGACAGCATCGTTGGTCCTGTATTAAATACTAGGAAGGATGCATATTATAAGGGAGTTTGGCAGATTTGACTAATTCAATTGATCCAATTGTGAAAGACTCGCGGCCTCGGTGCTAGTCAAACCCACACACCAGGGGAGGCTTTTGCGCG